GTACGTATTTAGTTAAGCTTTAAAGGTGAATTTCAGACCAGAAGCAAATAATCTCTCTCTTATTTACAGGTCCCAGATAGTCTCACCAGTTGACCTCACAGGTAAGTTTGCACTTACATTTGTGGCCGTTTATATTAGAATAGTGATCGAACCAAAAATCAAGTAATATTTTAACATAGTTTGTTCAAACAATTATTTCACATTTACCAACAGATCATACACCTCTCAGCCTCACATAATGTGTTACATCATTCATAATTAAGGAATACTATCTTGTGGTTTCCCTGATAACTTGGATATTTTATTATTTACTAACTCTTTGCGGACTTTCAGTTTTATCTCTGCTATTTTGCTTTTCGTTAAATTTCCAAGTGTATATATTAAGGGATCCACTATGACCTCGCTGTGACCCGTCAGGACCAACCCCCACAATCTTATGGGCAGGGTAAGAGAAAAAATAAAGACTGGAAACTGGATATATTGATTTTATATATATTGTAAGACAGCCTTTGACAATCTCTCTCCCAAAGTCAAAAGGTTTTCCACGCTGTTTCTTACTGTCTGAGAGAATTTGTCATTATCTCTCACTGTATTCTGATAATATCAGATTGTCTTTGATAATGTCTCTAATTATGTCAGAAATAATTCTCATTGTGTCAAAAGCATCCGGCATTGTCTCTCAAGACATAAATAAATCTTCGACAACGTTTCCCGCAGTGAATCAAAACTTTCGACACTCTCTAAAAACAGTCTGAGGTGACCGGAAAATATTCATAAAATACAAAACCAGATCACAGTGATAGAGAAGCCACAATAGAAGAAATAACTACTCGGTTTAGTCCTTGAACTGATATTCCTAGCAATCCTACCGATATATTTAACTGATAAAATACAAATCTATGGGTCAATGCTTAAAGATAAAGAGAAGAGGTAAAACGAGGATAAGGAATAACTGCAAAATGCCACAGAACGTTAAGGTCAAGCAACAAAGAATGGTCCAATAAGTGGCTACGCGAGTTTAACCCAAGTCAGTGAAAGGTAATAAGAACAAGTGAAGGGACAAGGTCAAAGGAAGAGCACAGCCTGAAGGCAAGATAGCTCATAGAATCAGAAAAGGAAAGAGGACCAACGGATGAACAACACACTGTCTATCATCGGCAGGGGAATAAAAATAGAACAATCATACGCAAAGGACACTAATTCAAGAACAGATTTCAGGAGCCTGGGCCAGGACTCTGATAGCTTGATACCACCTGTATGAGATGGCTACTTGAGAGGTACTCAATTTGTACTTCTCACAAAGTACTTGTGTACTTTGTGAGGAGAAGAATGTAACGCCAGCATATAACCCACACCTTGTAAAAACTAATATAACATTGAGACGATTCATATATGTAATACTAGGTTGGAACTGTCAATACAGGACCCCCACAACACAGCGTCACACTACACCATCATCACAGGACCCCCCACAACACAGCGTCACACTACACCATCATCACAGGACCCCCACACACACAGCGTCACACTACACCATCATCACAGGACCCCCCACAACACAGCGTCACACTACACCATCATCACAGGACCCCCCACAACACAGCAACACACTACAGCATCATCACAGGACCCCCCACAACACAGCGACACACTACACCATCATCACAGGACCCCCCACAACACAGCAACACACTACACCATCATCACAGGACCCCCCACAACACAGCGACACACTACACCATCATCACAGGACCCCCACAACACAGCGACACACTACACCATCATCACAGGACCCTCACAACACAGCGACACACTACACCATCATCACAGGACCCCCCACAACACAGCGACACACTACACCATCATCACAGGACCCCCCACAACACAGCGACACACAACACTATCAACACAGGGCCCTCACAACACAACATCACACTACATCACTATCAACACAGGGCCCTCACAACACAGGGCCCTCCAAGCGCCTCACCCCACCCATCAAGGAAGATAACATGAACCGCAGTCAGCCCGGAGCTGCAATATAATTATCTCAGGAAATTCATCAGAGCTACTCACCCTGCTGGCGGCGCTCCTGGTGGTTCCTGCTGGTGGTTCCTGCTGGCGGCGCTCCTGGTGGTTCCTGCTGGTAGTTCCTGCTGGCGGCTCTCCTGGTGGTTCCTGCTGGTGGTTCCTGCTGGCGGCGCTCCTGGTGGTTCCTGCTGGTGGTTCCTGCTGGCGGCGCTCCTGGTGGTTCCTGCTGGTAGTTCCTGCTGGCGGCTCTCCTGGTGGTTCTTCCTTGTAATTCCTGCTGGTAGTTCCTGCTGGTGGCTCTCCTGGTGGTTCCTGCTGGTGGTTCCTGCTGGTAGTTCCTGCTGGCGGCGCTCCTGGTGGTTCCTGCTGGCGGCGCTCCTGGTAGTTCCTGCTGGCGGCTCTCCTGGTGGTTCTTCCTGGTAATTCCTGGTGGTAGTTCCTGCTGGTGGCTCTCCTGGTGGTTCTTCCTGGTAATTCCTGCTGGTAGTTCCTGCTGGTGGCTCTCCTGGTGGTTCCTGCTGGTGGTTCCTGCTGGTAGTTCCTGCTGGTGGCTCTCCTGGTGGTTCTTCCTGGTAATTTCTGCTGGTGGAGTCTGCTGGCTGGTGGATCCTGCTGGCTAGTGGATCCTGGCGGTAGCTTCTGCTGGTAGCAACTCATGTTGATGCTTCCTCCTGCTGGTGAGAGAAGCAGATTGTCTCAGGCATGTCTATACGGATTTCATGTTTGTGCAGTAATTTGGAATTTTTTTTATCATCGTGGCCCCGTCTCCATCCTTCATTAAAATTATGCACAGCTGGGTGTCTCTGTGTATTTAGTTTTTGTGTATTATACACTACAGGCAGATGCTGCTTGGTAGATTAAAGTACAAGTTTTTGGCCTTTCTGCTTTGCGGAAGCAGTCTCATATTCAGGAGTCAAGAATCGGAGTCTGTATACGGATTCTGAACTTGGGGTCTAGGTTAGAGATTTTTTTTTTTTTTTGTCGTTGATTAACCAGAGGCATTGTGGTCTGCTATCAATTAGAGGCATTGTGGTCTGCAACTGTGGTCTGCTACGCGTACTAGTGGCTGTACAAGAATGTAACAACTCTTGTATATATCTCAAAAAAAAAAAAAAAAAAAAAAAAATTATCTAGCCATTAAAGTTACATCCGATTTATCTTTGAGAATCTTGCATTTAAGTGATGGAATGATCACTTCAAAATCTTTTGAATCACTTTTGATTCTAAGGATTTGGGTGTTATCCTCTACCGTAGGTTTACAGTTTTTTTAATAAAGTTACATGAACGATTGAGTACATCTATCTACAACTTCATCAAACTGATATATACTTCTTAAATATAATCTACCTGTCACTGATATCCCAGTTAATCAGTGTCCCCCACAATCAAAGTTACATACCAATTATCTTGTGAATCTTGCTTTATTAAAAGTAGTCATACTTGAAACAATTGCTTCCTCTATCAAAACCTAAGGTTTCACTAGAATTATGTTTATATTGACGTCTCACATCAACAAGTCGAACTGCAGCAGCCTGTAGGTTTTACATAAACAATACTGCCACACAAACTATGTGTTAGACTGGACAACTGGCTGAACACTACTCAAACAGAGCTAGACTTGCGCCTCGCGAGCGATTATGTATGGGTTCGTGTATTGGCCAGAGAGGATTGTGTAGGCGCCAATCCTTAACTGTTCGCACCTGTTCACCCAGCAGTACTTGGGAACCTGGTAGTTAACTGATTTGTGGGTCGTATTCCAGGGATAACTAGCGGGTAAGGCTTAGCATGAGTATAAGAAGGGAAAGCTCTCAGCTTGTTATCGGGTGTCAGTAGTAGTTTGCTCCTGTACCCAACTGTGTAAACAAAACAAACTATCCTGCACAATAGCCAGTAAGAGCCTCTTAATTAGCAGTTATAAATAACTTGTTAGCTGCACAAAATATGGGCCACCTGCAGCCCTAAATAGGGAAGGATTCCACAGACACCCATCTGCTTTCCACAATATGGTGTTTAGCATTTATATGATTAGGACGTGGATCATCTAACATCTTCGTGCCATATATATATATATATATATATATATATATATATATATTATATATATATATATATATATATATATATATATATATATATATATATGTCCACATAAGACTCGTGTAGGCTGTCTATTACCTCTAACACTTCCACATGAGGCTCGTGTAATCTAGCCATTAATATGAATCCGGCAACAGAATACAGTATTTACTCCCAAAATTCTCGTCGGCCTCTCTGCACTAAATCGGACGTATCGGTGCTGTCCATTTTGACTTAGTTAGCAGAACAATATTATCCGTGTGTAGCTACCATGACCATTTCCATTTTGTGTCGCCATGATTTTGCCGAGCTCGACAATCACCCAATCTAAATTTCATCTCACATATTGTCCCATCCGTCAAAGTTGAACAACAATGGTGACAATTACGCAGACCCTGACTCTCTCTCGTATTTATATCAACTTCAAATCGTTTTCATATTCAATATATATATATATATATATATATTATATATATATATATATATATATATATATATATATATATATATATATATATATATATATATATATATATATATATATATATATAGTTACTGAGAGCTAGGAACCCAGACGTTTATAAGGAAATCCTTGAGAATGTTGTCGAGTGTGATGGCAGCAACCTAGTCTCAAGTCTCGATGTGTTTACTTAATTAGCACACAACGTTGTATAACGGAGAACTTAAGTCGTAAGACTGTCGCAATTAACGCTACTTAAATCTGCGAACTGGCAGAAAGACTGAATGTGGTCTAATTATGCAAGGCTAAACTGGATTACACTTGTCAAAATTAAGGGAGTTTGTATACAATTAGTGAGTGTGCGTTTTGGGTGTGTGTGTTTTGTGTGTTGGGTATGTGTGTGTTGTGTGTATGTGTGGGTATGTGTGTGTTGTGTGTATGTGTTGCGTGTGAGTATGAGTGTACTCACCTAGTTGTACTCACCTATTTGTGTCTGCAGGATCGAGCATTGACTCTTGGATCCCGCCTTTCGAGCATCGGTTGTTTACAGCAATGACTCCTGTCCTATTTCCCTATCATACCTGGTTTTAAAATTATGAATAGTATTTGCTTCCACAACCTGTTCCTGAAGTGCATTCCATTTCCCCACTACTCTCACGCTAAAAGAAAACTTCCTAACATCTCTGTGACTCATCTGAGTTTCAAGCTTCCATCCATGTCCTCTCGTTCTGTTACTATTCCGTGTGAACATTTCGTCTATGTCCACTCTGTCAATTCCTCTGAGTATCTTATACGTTCCTATCATGTCCCCCCTCTCCCTTCTTCTTTCTAGTGTCGTAAGGCACAGTTCCCTCAGGCGCTCTTCATACCCCATCCCTCGTAGCTCTGGGACGAGTCTCGTTGCAAACCTCTGAACCTTTTCCAGTTTCATTATATGCTTCTTCAGATGGGGACTCCATGATGAGGCGGCATACTCTAAGACTGGCCTTACGTAGGCAGTGTAAAGCGCCCTAAATGCCTCCTTACTTAGGTTTCTGAATGATGTTCTAACTTTTGCCAGTGTAGAGTACGCTGCTGTCGTTATCCTATTAATATGTGCCTCAGGAGATAGATTAGGTGTTACGTCCACCCCCAGGTCTCTTTCACGCGTCGTTACAGGTAGGCTGTTCCCCTTCATTGTGTACTGTCCCTTTGGTCTCCTATCTCCTAGTCCCATTTCCATAACTTTACATTTGCTCGTGTTGAATTCTAGTAGCCATTTCTCTGACCATCTCTGCAATCTGTTCAGGTCCTCTTGGAGGATCCTGCAATCCTCATCTGTCACAACTCTTCTCATCAACTTTGCATCATCCGCAAACATCGACATGTAGGACTCTACGCCTGTAAACATGTCGTTAACATATACAAGAAATAGAATTGGTCCCAGCACCGATCCTTGTGGTACTCCACTTGTTACTGTTCGCCAGTCCGACTTCTCGCCCCTTACCGTAACTCTTTGGCTCCTTCCTGTTAGGTAGTTCCTTATCCATTCTAGGACCTTTCCCCCACCCCCGCCTGCCTCTCGAGCTTGAACAGCAGTCTCATGTGCGGTACTGTATCAAAGGCTTTTTGGCAGTCCAGAAATATGCAGTCTGCCCAACCATCTCTGTCCTGTCTTATCCTCGTTATTTTGTCATAGAATTCCAGAAGGTTTGTTAGGCACGATTTCCCTGTCCAGAACCCATGTTGATGTTTGTTCACAAACCTAATGTTCTCCAGGTGTGCAACCAGTCGCAGCCTAATTATTCTTTCCAGTATTTTACAGGGGATGCTTGTCAGTGATACAGGTCTGTAGTTAAGTGCCTCCTCCCTATCTCCTAGTGTGTGTGTGAGTGTGAGTGTGAGTGTGTGTGTGTGTGTGTGTGTGTGTGTGTGTGTGTGTGTGTGTGGTGTGTGTGTGTGTGTGTGTATTCATCTAGTTGTGCTTGCGTGGGTTGAGCTCTGCTCTTTCGGCCCGCCTCTCAACTGTCAATCAACTGTTTCTACTACTACCTTTTTTTTCAACACCACACACACACACATACACCCCACGAAGCAGCCCGTGACAGCTGACTAACTCCCAGGTACCTATTTACTGCTAGGTAACAGGGGCATAGGGTGAAAGAAACTCTGCCCATCGTTTCTCGCCGGCGCCCGGGATTGAACCCGGGACCACAGGATCACATGCCCAGCGTGCTGTCCGCACAGCCGGCTGGCTCCCTGTGTGTGTGTGTGTATGTGTGTGTGTGTGTGTGTGTGTGTGTGTGTGTGTGTGTGTGTGTGTGTGTGTGTGTGTGTGTGTGTGTGTGTGTGTGTGTGTGTGTGTGTGTGTGTGCTGTGTGTGTTTGTGTGTGTGCGCATGTGTGTGTACGTGCATTGCATGTGTGTTCGTGTACATTCGTGTGCACCCTCCAATGTTTAATTTAGTTTCCAGGATGATTGGCTATTTCAAGAATGGAAGCAGAATCTCATTAGACGAGATTGCAAGACTGCGAAGGCCTCTGAACTGGCCATAAATCAGCGAGTAGAAGTGTAAACACAACCAATCATCCCTCCATTTGCCAAAACTTTATCTCGCAGTAATTTGGGCCAATCAGCGCACGGAAAATATCTTCTCCCGTAAAAACCAACCAATGAGGATCTCGGAATGAGCCTCGAGGAGGAAGTTCAGAAATATCTTGGCTCATTCAGCATGTAATGAATGGTGGGTCAGTTTGGCGGCTTCAGCGGAGTTCCACAGCACAAGTTTCCTGGCAGGATATTACCTACCGTGAAAATTTGCTGCAATAAGAATTTTTTTTAAGCAAAATGAAATCTCTGTGATGTTATAAAAACATGTGTAATATATGACAAATAGATAAACACACACACCACACACACACACACACACACACACACACACACCACACACACACACACACACACACACACACACACACACACACACACACACACACACACACACACACACACACATATATATATATATATATATATATATATATATATATATATATATATATATATAGATATATATATATATATTGCTAACCACATTAGCAAGGGGAAATAACACTTCATTTACTTGGGACATTGGAGCCTC